AAAATCAATATCTAAAATCGATTTTAAAAAATCGATTTTAAAATTTCCAAAGTCAAAATTATGGACACTTTATAATCATCTTTTAAAAAATGATTTAAAATTAATTTCTCCTTGTCAAAAAGTATTAAAAGAATATTGTATAGTCAATTATTTTTAACTGTTCCAATATGTGCTGGAGATACACAGTCATAATTTTTAGTTATAAGAGTTGTATATGTACATTAGAACACCTTGTGAAATGTGTTGTTTAGTTCATCTATATCTTTACTTGTGTTTCTTTTTTTTTGAGACGGAGTTTCCCTCTTGTTACCCAGGCTGGAGTGCAATGGCACGATCACCGCAACCTCCGCCTCCTGGGTTCAGGCAATTCTCCTGCCTCAGCCTCCTGAGTAGCTGCAATTACAGGCACGTACCACCATGCCCAGCTAATTTTTTGTATTTTTATCAGAGACGGGGTTTCACCACGTTGGCCAGAATGGTCTCGATCTCTTGACCTCTTGATCCACCCTCCTCGGCCTCCCAAAGTGCTGGGATTACAGGCTTGAGCCACTGCACCCGGCACTTGTATTTCATTTAATTAATAAATCAACCACGGACAGACGTATGCAGAAATTTCCCACTGTGATAACAGATTTATCAATTTCTCCCTGTTTTAGCAATTGTTCTTTTTGATATATTGAGTCTTTTATTAAATATATGCAAGCTTAACATCACTATATGCTCCAGGTGAATAAAATTTAAAAATCAGCCCAGGTGTGGTAGCCTCACATCTGTAACCCCAGAACTTTGGCAGGCCGAGGCAGGAGGATCATTTGAGCCCAGTTGAGATGGGGTAAAACCGCATCTCTACAAAAAACACATGAAAGAAAAATAGCTGGGCATGGTGGTGCATGCCTCTGTAGTCCCAGCTACTTGGAGGAGGGAGTGGGAGGATTGCCTGAGCCCAGGAGGGTAAGGCTGCAGTGAGCCAAGATCGGGCAGCTGCATTCCAGCCTGCTTCACAGAGTGAGACCCTGTCCAAAAACAGAAAAAAAAATTAAATCATTTCTGTAATATCTTTAACAATTTCACAGATTATTATTATTTTAGATTCCGTCTTGATAGCTGGCATCCCTGAAGTGCTCGGGGATCTCGATCTGCTTTTGCTTCTCTATGCAGGTCATCTCACCCGCCTTCTTTATGTGTTCAGTGACTTTTTTTCCTTCAATTGAGACGGTTAGGGTTAGGGTTAGAGAGCTCATAATTCGGCTGGACTTAATCTACTGAAATCCTGAGCTGCCCCATTCAGAAAATTTTTTTTCTGGAGAGGATTTGTCTTTGCAAGAAGACAGTTAACCAACTTGGAATTATTTTAATTTAAGTGATCACCTTGGAGAGTTCAGGACTGGATGGCTAAAATACATTTGGATTTGTTCCTCATGTTGGCAGAAGCCTTTGATGAAAAACTCACAGGAAGAGTTTCACCTGGAGCAGGTGTGGAGGTGGGTTTTTCCAGCAGGTGGCTTTCTCCTCCTGCCCCTCACGGGGTGTTCTAGCTAACTGAGACATTCCACAGCCTCATCTCCCATTCCTCGAATATTAATCCCAAGCCCCTGTGTTGCAGGTGTCAGCCTTCGCTCTGTAGTAAAACTGGCTTCTGAATTTGCCTCCACTTATCTCTGTGAGTTCAGATTACTCTAGGGTATATCTTGCATCGTAGAGTAATTTGGGGATTTTCCACAGACCCTTGTGAGCTCACAAAGCATTAAAAAATATGTGCATTCTCATTTGCCCAGCATCTGGCTATTTTATGCAGGAATTACCTACAATGCTCGCCCTTCCTTCCTTCCTTCCTTCCTTCCTTCCTTCCTTCCTTCCTTCCTTCCTTCCTTCCTTCCTCCCTCCCTCCCCTCCCTCCCTCTCTCTCTCTCTTTCTTCTCTCTCTCTCTCTCTCTCTCTCTCTGTCTCACTCCTTTTCTTTCTTTCTTTTCAGACGGGGTCTCACTCTGCCACCCAGGCTAGAGTGCAGTGGTGTGATCTCACTCACTACAACCTCTGCCTCCCAGGTTCAAGTGATTCTCCTGCCTCAGCCTCCGAAGTAGCTGGGACTGACAGGAGCATGCCACCATGCTCAGCTAATTTTTGTATTCTTAGTAGAGATGGGGTTTTACCACATTGGCCAGGATGGTCTGAATCTCTTGACCTCGTGATCTACTCGCCTTGGCCTCCCAAAGTGCTGGGATTATGCTTTTGCTTTCTTTCTATCCCTAAAATAGCTGTTACAGTGCAGGGTGCATACTGTCTGCCCACCCCCAAAATAGTTTTAGACTTTTCAGCATCTACTGTTGTTACTTTTTAAATAAAGTAATGGGAGCCTCACATGGCAAACTCAACTGATATAGTCCATAGACCTGACATAATGGGTTGAAGTCAGAAACAGATTCCATTCCTGGCTCCGGTCATCAGCCAGGTGATCTTTACGAAGAACTTGACCTGCCACTGCCCCAGTCTCAGTTTACCTGAGAACTGAGTGTAATCACAGTATCTACTTCACCACACAGCTAAATAATGAATAAAATGGCAAAGAGCATAATTGGAAAGCATTGAATTGCACCTTCTTATTAATTATGCTTAAGTAATAATCTTAATAAATGTAACTAAATAAAGAATTTGAACAGTTCAGTGAGAGCGTGTCTGTTCACAACTTAGAGGCGGCTCCCTCCCCATACTAGGAATTCAACAAATGTGAGGGCCTTTTTCCTCACTATAAGCAATTATGACAATAATAGATAATAAGTGAAATTCTAAAATCTACACATAAAAGGCCTAAAAGTAGTCACCAAAGCAGTTATTACCATCGCTTTTGTGAGAGGATATACCTCTCACATTTTGGAAAGAATGTAGCATGTTGCGATAATGCTTACAATTAGAATTTTAAAAATAATAAATAACCCAATACATTGCTGCATTGATGGTGTCGCTAATTGGAAGATACGCTATTGTCTTCCCTAGCACAACGAAATAAACAATACTGCCAAAGAAACCACAGCACCTGCCAAGTTTCAGAGACGTTAAAATCCAAAAGGGCTGCTTCTCAGAGCGATTAAATAGAGCCATCTTGGGTTGAGAGAGTGCAAAGTACTGTCTAATAAGTCACTTAATTTAATCCTCACCACAACCAGCAGCAGAGACAGGACAGGGGAAGACACAGAGACAGGACAGGGGAAGACACGGAGACAGGACAGGGGAAGACGCAGAGACAGGACAGGGGAAGACACGGAGACAGGACAGGGGAAGACGCGGAGACAGGACAGGGGAAGACGCAGAGACAGGACGGGGAAGACACAGAGACAGGACAGGGGAAGACGCAGAGACAGGACAGGGGAAGACGCAGAGACAGGACGGGGAAGACGCGGAGACAGGACAGGGGAAGACACGGAGACAGGACAGGGGAAGACGCAGAGACAGGACAGGGGAAGACGCAGAGACGGGACAGGGGAAGACGCAGAGACGGGACAGGGGAAGACGCAGAGGCGGGACAGGGGAAGACGCAGAGACGGGACAGGGGAAGACTCAGAGACGGGACAGGGGAAGACGCAGAGACAGGACAGGGGAAGACGCAGAGACAGGACGGGGAAGACACGGAGACAGGACAGGGGAAGACACAGAGACAGGACAGGGGAAGACACGGAGACAGGACAGGGGAAGACGCAGAGACAGGACGGGGAAGACACGGAGACAGGACAGGGGAAGACGCAGAGACAGGACGGGGAAGACACGGAGACAGGACAGGGGAAGACGCAGAGACAGGACGGGGAAGACACGGAGACAGGACAGGGGAAGACGCAGAGACAGGACGGGGAAGACACGGAGACAGGACAGGGGAAGACGCAGAGACAGGACAGGGGAAGACGCAGAGACAGGACAGGGGAAGACGCAGAGACAGGACGGGGAAGACACGGAGACAGGACAGGGGAAGACGCAGAGACAGGACGGGGAAGACACGGAGACAGGACAGGGGAAGACGCGGAGACAGGACAGGGGAAGACGCGGAGACAGGACAGGGGAAGACGCGGAGACAGGACAGGGGAAGACGCAGAGACGGGACAGGGGAAGACGCAGAGACGGGACAGGGGAAGACGCGGAGGCGGGACAGGGGAAGACGCGGAGACGGGACAGGGGAAGACGCAGAGACGGGACAGGGGAAGACGCAGAGACGGGACAGGGGAAGACGCAGAGACGGGACAGGGGAAGACGCAGAGACGGGACAGGGGAAGACGCAGAGACGGGACAGGGGAAGACGCAGAGACAGGACGGGGAAGACGCGGAGACAGGACAGGGGAAGACGCAGAGACAGGACGGGGAAGACACGGAGACAGGACAGGGGAAGACGCGGAGACGGGACAGGGGAAGACGCGGAGACGGGACAGGGGAAGACACAGAGACGGGACAGGGGAAGACGCAGAGACGGGACAGGGGAAGACGCAGAGACGGGACAGGGGAAGACGCAGAGACGGGACAGGGGAAGACACAGAGACAGGATAGGGGAAGACGCAGAGACAGGACGGGGAAGACACGGAGACAGGACAGGGGAAGACACAAAGACAGGACAGGGGAAGACACGGAGACAGGACAGGGGAAGACGCAGAGACGGGACAGGGGAAGACGCAGAGACTGGACAGGGGAAGACGCAGAGACTGGACAGGGGAAGACGCAGAGGTGAGACAGGGGAAGACGCAGAGGCGGGGAAGACGCAGTGGCGGAACAGGGGAAGACGCAGAGACGGGACAGGGGAAGACGCAGAGGCGGGACAGGGGAAGACGCAGAGGCGGGACAGGGGAAGACGCAGAGGCGGGACAGGGGAAGACGCAGAGGCGGGACAGGGGAAGACGCAGAGGCGGGACAGGGGAAGACGCAGAGGCGGGACAGGGGAAGACGCAGAGGCGGGACAGGGGAAGACGCAGAGGCTGGTACCAGAAGGAACCAGCTCTGCCCCTCTCCTTCCCAGTGCCTGCACTCACCCGGCTATGTGATTCCAGAATCTGCATGCAGGCTGACTTGGTCAGCGTCTCAGTCGCACTCAGCTCTTCCAGGAGCAAGTCTTGGATGCTGAGGAGGGCAGTGTAGGCCGACAGGGTCTGGGTCACCCGGGCTGCCTTCTGGAACTGCAGAGCAACAAGAGACTGTGCAAAGCCTCCCTCCTGCGCCTCCAGCCGCTGCACTCTCTCCTGTAGCAATTCACCTCGGACCTGGGAGGGGATAGGAATGAACTGAAACCCAGAGAGCAATGAGGAGGGTGGAGAAGGGCAAGCCGCCTTTCAGAGTTCACAGACCCGGAATCCTGAGGACCACCAAAGGTTTACAATGGAGACGCACTGGGAACCCACAGGGAGCAACAACAGACAAGCCTGTCCCTGCTTATGAAGACGCCAGCGGGCTTAGGGAGTCCAGCCAGCCTTCATTCCATATGCATCATCCTCAATAGTCACCCGAGCCTGCTGCTCTCCTGAAAACCCTCAAAGTCTCTCCATGTCCTAGAGGATGAAAGTTCAACTCCTTAGCATGGGATCCAAGGAACTCCCCACCTCAATCCCAGCCAAGGTCCCCGTGGACAGGTGTGGCCTGTTCTTCCACCCCTACCCCACTCACTCATACACGGACATCTGGACATCTGGGACTTCCTTTCCCAACTGCGCGCTGTGCTCTACACACCACGTGCTTTGTTTCTGCGGCTTGCGCTCTCTGCAGTGACTAAAATGTCCTCCCATCCTCTCTTCCTGAAATTCTTCTGTCTGTCTGTTGGGTCTGTAGTTCCCAACCAGCCCCTCTGAAGCATTCTCACTTCTCTGTTTCTTTTGTTCCATGTAGGCTTTAAGCCAGGTGCCCAGGGTTTACTTGACCTCGGGCAAGTCATGAAGCTCTGCATGGCTACACGTCTTCATCTAGAAAGCAGAGACAGTAACACCATCCAACACATAGAGTTTAGCTTACTTTTTATCAAAACATCTTTATCAAGCTATAACTTCTGCACAATAACGTGCACATAATTACAGTACACATTGTGATCAATGTTGACATATTTCTACCCCTGTGAAACCATCCCCACAACCAGGGTGGTAAACACGTCCATGTTCTAGGTAACCCTACCCCCTGCCCCCCACTCGGAAACCACTGATGTGCTTTCAGTTACAACAAATGAGTTTGCATTTTGTAGAGTTTTCTCTAAGTGGAAACATACAGTACATATTTTTTTGTCTAGCTTTTTTTTTTTTTTTTTGAGACAGAGTCTTGCTCTGTCACCCAAGCTGGTGTGCAGTTGCGTAATCACGGCTCACTGCATCCTCCACCTCATGGGTTCAAGTGATTTTCCTGCCTCAGCCTCTGAGTAGCTGGGATTATAGGCATGCAGCAGCATGCCCGGCTAATTTTGTAATTTTAGTTTAGATGGGGTTTCACCACGTTGCCTAGGCTGGTCTTGAACTCCTGGCCTCAAGTGATCCACTGCTTTGGACTCTCAAAGTGCTGGGATTAGAGGCACAAGCTGCGGTGCCTGGCCTGTCTAGCCGTTTTGACCAAGCATAATTATTTTGAGATTCACCTTTTACCGTCTTCTTCTGGGCTGAGCATCTGCTGCTTCCCCCTTCCCGTCCTTTGTTGCTTTATCAGCTATAGCTCTGTTTTGTTATTTTTAGTGGCTGCTTTAGCGTGCACAGTACACATCTTTGACTTATCCCAAGGTACCTTCAACTGATACTGTATCACTTCACATGGAGTACAAGAACCAAAAATAAAATTCTAAGGCCCTCCGACCATCCTCTCAGCAAGGGGATGTCAAAGTTATCCTGAAAAACTCGTTCAGGCTGTGATGGGAAGGAGGAGCTGAACATCCCTCCCTCCCTCCCTCCCTCCCTCCCTCCCTTCCTTCCTTTTGAAATTTCAGCTGGAAACATTTAGAATATATTCTCTCTGAAGCCTGCTACCTGGCGGCTTCATCTGCATCATAAAACCTTGGTCCCCACAACCCCTTAGTGTAACCCAGAGGTTCCTTCCTATTGACAATAAACTCTTTCGACCAATTGCCAATCAGAAAATCTTTTAGTCTAACTATGATCTGAAAGCCCTCACTTCCAGTTGTCCCACCTTTCTAGACCAAACCAGTGTACCTCTTACAAATATTGACTGATGTCTCACGCCTACCTAAAATGTGTAAAACCAAGCTGTGCCCCAATCACCTTGGGAACATGTCATCAAGATCTCCTGAGGCTGTGTCGTGGGTGTGTTCTTAACCTTTGCAAAATAAACTTTCTAAATTGATTGAGACCCTTTGGCTTACAGACCTTCTGCTAATTTACTTCCATTTCTTGCTTCCTGGTCTTTATGCTATTTCTGTCACGTATTTAATTTTATATGTGTTATAAGCTTCACACTACTTCGTTATTATTTTCATTAAAACAAGTCAGTCTTCAAAATGTTCCTGTATTGAAGTGAAATGCACATAACACAAAATTTACTACTTTAAAGTCAACAATTAAGTGACATTCAGGATTGAGTAGCCCCCACCTCTATTTACTCTGAGAACATTTCACCATCCCCAACGCAAAAGCAAACCCCACAGCTCTTAAATAATTATTCCCCAGTCCTCCCACCCCCAAGTTCCTGGCAACTACCAATCTTCCGTTTCTATGATTTTCCTTATTCTGGATATTTCATATAAATGGAATTACAGAATAACCACCTTTTGTGCCTCGCTTCTTTTACTTAGCATAAGGTTTTCAAAGTCCATCTACGTACTGTATCAAAACTTCATTCCTTTTTATGACTGCAAAATATTCCACTGGATGTATGACCAGTAAATTTTTGGAAGATTTTTAAACTAAAAAGAGAATCTAACATATGTACCCATGTAGTTACCATTCCCAGTGCTCATTTTTTTTTTTTTTTTGGTGTGGTTCTAGATTTCTATCTCTTATGAAAATCCTTCAACTGATTTCCTATAACATTTCTTGCAGTATGAATCTCTCCTAGTCATAAAAACTTTCAGCACTGTATGTCTGAAAAAAGTTATTTCATCTGCATTCTTGAAAGATATATTTTCTGAATAAAGAATTTTAGGCGGCAGGTTTTCCCGAGTGTTTTGAGGACATTCCTCCGCTGTCATCTTACTTGCATTATTTGAAACGAGAAATCTGCTGTCAACGTAATCTTTGCTTTGTAGGGTACATAATAAATCGTTTTCCTTCAGTTGCTTTTAAGATTTTATCAGTGGTTTGGAGCAATTTGATTATCATATATTTTGGAAAAATTGTCCTCAAGTTTCTTATGCTTGGAATTCACTGAGCTTCTTAAATCTGTGAGTTTATAGCTGTCATCAAATTAGGCCAAATTTCAGCCGTTAATTCTTCCAATATGCTTTCATCCTTCTTTCTCTCTCTCCTCCTCTCTGGGATCCCAACTACCCACACATTTCGGCCACTTGAAGTTGTCCCGTGGCTCACTGCTGCTCTGCTCACTTTTCTGTTTTCATTTTAGATAATTTCTATTGCTACATCTTCAAGCTATTCTTTTTTTCTGCGATTGTTAATTCCCATACACACACACACACACGTGTATGTGTGTGTATACTCAAATCAAACTTCTAGAGAAGAAACATATGTGTGATACAGATGCAAATATAGACATATAGATATCTTTTTATGTCTTCCATATCTATACTTAATGTTTTTTAAATATATAAAACACAACTATAATGACTGTTTTACCCCATTTATGGTGGAGGTCACAATTTTGTGTATGTGAAAAATCATATGTTGGTGCTGACCTTGAGCAGTATGATATAAATAACTCCCACAGCTTAACGTTCCAATAATGGAACACTAGGCATAAATGGGTTAATGCCATTCTCTGTCAATTCTAACATTCGTGTCAGTTCTGAATTGGTTTCAATTGGTTGATTTTTCTTCTCATGAGGAGTTATATTTTCCTGTTTGTTTCCTGTTAACTGAACTACAGACATTGTAATTTCTGCCTTGTTGGGTCCTGGATATTTTTATGTTTCTGTAACTATTCTTCAGCTTTGTTCTGAGATGCAGGTAAGCCACTCGGAAACAGGCTGACCTTTTGGGTTATGTTTTTAAGCTCTTTTATGGGGGACCAGTTTTGGGCTCATTCTTTCCACTGCTAAGGCAAGACCTTTTGGGGACTATATTTGATGCCCTCTGAATTATGAGGCTTTCTGGTCTGGCTAGAAGGAACTGCCACTATCCCCAGCTCGGTGTGAGTGCTGCATACTCTGCTAAGTATTTTGGGTGGTCTTTCCCCTAGCTTTGAGTAATTTTCTTCCATGGAAGTGTTGAGCAGGTCTCAGCAGAATGCTCAAGGGGACCCAGCGGACATCTCCGGAGTTCTCTCTGTGCAGCTCTTTCTTTGCTGGGATTCTGTCCTGTGAAATCCAGCTGATTCGGCTTCCCCAGATTCTTAGCTTTGTCTTTTATACTCAAGGAGTCCACTTGAATAGACCTCCTGGGCTCCTTCTTGCTGTGCCTCAGCCTGGAAACCCTTTGTGAGCAGTAAGTTGGGGCAATGACAGAGCTGAACTCCTTTATTTCTTACTCCTTAGGGATCAGTTCTGACTGCTATCCAGTGTCCTGGAAAGCACTGTTCCATAGATTTTGGTTGTTTTGTTTTGTTTTAGGTGAGGGGTAATTCTAATACTTTTTATTCTCTCTTGGTCAGAAGCAGAAGTCCCTCACAGGGTTATCCTGATTATTAAACCTCATACTTTTAAGTGCTCAGAACAGTGCCTGACACATTGGAGTGTTTACAAACGTTGCCTGTGTTGTCCTTGGTGGTGCTGGTGTAATACTCTCATTACTGAAGGTGGAATATAGTGGGTTCCATAAGGGAGGTCCACGTATGGTGCCATGTGGTTTAGAGAAAGGAGAAAGTGGAGGGGTCAGGGGAGGCTGTAACAACATTGGCATTTGAAGCAGATATTGAAGGATCTAGGCATTTAGGGAGAGGAACAGCATGGCCAGAGGCCCTGAGACAGGGGCCCCCCAGAGGCTTGTGAGAGGCTGAATTGGACAAAAGCGAAGAGGGAAAGTGGAAGAAGCCGTAAAGGTGGGGCAGAAGAACCCATACTGCAGAGGGCCTGAACTGTCAGAGACAAGAAGGCAGAGCTTCTCCTGAGACAGTCAGAAAGGCAAGAGAGCTGGATGTCCCTGAACAGGAAAAACCTGAGTGATGGGCA